GAAATATGTCTTAATGGGGTATGGGGGGCTATCTGTCAAACTGGTTGGACCAGCAATGATGCTGTTGTCTTCTGCAGAGAACTTGGTTACAATGGTCCAGGTAAGGAGGCTAAAAAGACAATATAAATTTAAATATTGCGGTAGGACCAAATACTTATTACAATGCTTATTTTGGTGAGACATATGGACCTGTTATTTTCAGCAACATGGCTTGCTTTGGATGGGAGAACACAATTTCATACTGTGGCAAGTTAAGTATTCCTAATTTCAACTGTTCACAACATGACACTGCTGGTCTAACATGCAAAGATGGTAAAGTTTATCATAAAATAGAGCAATGATACATTATGCTCAATTGATTCATTCATTAGATTGTCAGAATGGGGAAGTAAAATTAATTGGTGGCAAGTATTCCAATGAAGGAACTGTTCTTGTATGCTACAATAACTTGTGGGGTCTAATATCAGACACAGCATGGAGCGATGGAGATGCTAGAGTTGTTTGTAACTCACTAGGACACAGTGATGGAAGTATGTCATTCATTCAGTGCTAATTTTAAACTCATTTCTCTATTTTTTAGCTGCTACACCTATTACTGGATCATACTATGGAAAGCCAAACCTTATTGTACATTTCAGGCATGTGTCTTGCTTTGGTCAAGAAATGGACATTATTCAGTGCTCCAAAACAACCCTTTCCTTTACTAATGGTAAACTAGCTCTTTCTACTGATGAAGTGGCTGGGGTTGATTGTATTTATGATGAACCAAGTGACTGCATTCCAACACCAGACTGGGTCAACACACAAGGAGCAGATTGTACTCCTAACGGTAATGTAAGAGTACAAGGTAGTCAGGAGGCAGGCACTGGTAGATTAGAGTATTGTTATAATGGATACTGGTCACCATTCTGTAATCTGGATCCTGTGGCTGCTTCTGTTGCCTGTAAACAACTGGGATTTACTAATTATACTGGTAAGCAATGCTAAAAGATAATTTTACACTTTTTAAACGTTTAATTTTTCTATAAAGCTGCTTCAATTGTTCCTACTACTTCATTCGGTGTGATGCAAAATTTCAGTTTATTTTATAACATCACATGTGATGGAAATGAGACTTCTCTTTCTCAGTGTACAGTTCATACTTCTGAATGTACTCCTTGGTGTCCACACACTAATATTGCCATAAGATGCTTCAGTAAGTATAGATTAACTTACTGTTCTCATTTATCAATGATCATATAGATCCTGGTATGTGTACTGATGGTGAGACCAGGCTAGTTGATGGTATACTTGAGAATGAAGGAAGAATTGAAATATGTTACAATGGAGTGTGGGGAACTGTCTGTGATCAAGGATGGGATAAGACTGATGGTCACGTACTCTGTACACAGTTGGGATATGCTGAAAGAGGTTAGTTCCTATCAATATATGTAATTGTTAATACCTTTGCATATAGAACCAATTGTGTTTCCGAACTCTTTTTTTGGTGCTGGGTATTATCCCATTGTTTATTCTCACTTTGCTTGTGGAGGATGGGAAACTGACCTTGCTGATTGTGATAGACAAGTTTATCCTCAATCAAACTGTTCCAGGGATCATGTTGCTGGAGCCTTGTGTGGATATGGTAATACCATTTAGTGTATGCAATGATTATAACATAAATTATTCTCCATAGATTGTAATAATGGAGACACTAGGTTGGTTGGAAGTGAACATAGTTACGAGGGAACAATAGAAATTTGCTACGACCATATTTGGGGGCTCATATCTGATTCAGGGTGGAGCATTAAAGATGCCGAAGTTGTTTGCAGACAGCTTGGATATGAAACTCAAGGTATAATAAGAATTAAAATCAATGACATATATTTTACAATTTAATCTCTATTAGGTACTATATCATATGACTCTTCATATTTTGGAAAACCAAACAAGACAATACATTTGGCTAATGTCACATGTATTGGGACTGAAGACACACTCAATGACTGCACAAGGACATCAATCTCATTGCAAGATGGAAAGAACATGATTGAATCAACAAACGTAGCAGGAGTCCGGTGCTACGTACCTGACCATTGTGTTGTACCGCCACCAGAAAATGATTTCTGTACTCACGGACAGATAAGGTTGACTGGAGGCAGACCTACATATGCTGAAGGTAATCTAGAGTACTGCTATCATGGCTCATGGTCACTGTTCTGTTATCTGGGAGCACAAGAAGCTGTTGTGGCCTGCAGGCAATTGGGATACACTAAATATGAAAGTATGTGTGTACCATTTAATATACCAATAGGATTATTATTTTGCTATAGTAACTGCTGTGTTTAATGATGGAAGGTTTGGGCTGTCTACTGTAAGTAGTCTCTTTCAGAACTTCTCTTGTTCTAATGCACCAACTGCAATGTCACTGAGTGAATGCGATATAATTGACAGTTGTCAATCAACTTGTTCATTTCCAATCAGTCTTCGTTGTTATGGTAAATCACTCCTATTGTTTTATTATTAAAAATAATAATTTTTCTTTCTGTTAGAGTCAACTGACTGTCAAGATGGTGATGTGAGACTAGTCAATGGTACTTCGAGTGTGTCTGGACGATTGGAAGTCTGTAAAAATAAAATTTGGGGTGGAGTATGTGGCAGCAGTTTTGATGACAAGGATGCATATGTTGTATGCAGGGAACTGACATATGGACTATCAGGTATAGTAGAGACTGTATAAACTTTAAGTAGAGAGAATCTAAATTAAAATGAACCTAATGATCAAAGCTAAAATTTTCTTTTTGTCTACACTAGATCCATATGTGTTTACTGATTCACATTTCGGTGATGGTAATGGTATAATATTATATTCTAACTTTCAGTGCACTGGATTTGAAGGAGGCCTGGTTGACTGCCCTAAGCAGCAGTACGGAACCTTTGTTTGCCCCCCAAATGCAGTTGTAGGCATCATCTGTAGAGATGGTTAGTTTGACATTATGAATTGTACCCATAATTATTATCTTCATACATAGACTGCACAGATTATGATGTTAGATTGGTTGGTGGTGAGTCGCCATACGAAGGAACAGTTGAAGTATGTAATTATCATAGCTGGGGCCAAGTATTGGATAGCGGTTGGAGTAACAAAGAAGCACAAGTGATATGTAATCAGCTCAATTACAACAATTCAGGTAATGAGTTGAGCATTATAAATATTTATTATTATTATAACTATATAATGTGTAGAAGCTGTTGGCTTGATTGGTTCTTATTATGGTAAGGCCAATAGGCACATTCAGTTGGTAGATGTTGCATGCAATGGAACTGAGTTTAACATTGGAGCCTGTAACAGTGTATTGCTCACTCCTGAGGAGATTGCTCGTTACAATCGCTCGCATGTTGCTGGTGTTAACTGTCGTCCTGTTAATGAAACTCCTTCAGAGTCCCCTAGTCCAATAGTTAGCTGTGAATTAATGCCATCATCTGAAACCCTGGACTCTAAATCATGTCATTGGTTATGTTCGTCAATAGTTCTTGTTATTGTTGCTATTGTTCTTATTGTGTCAATTGCAATTAATATCAGGTAAATTGAGTAACCCCAAAATAAATTAATACTGATATTTTTTTGTTATTAGTTGTGCATTCTGTCTTGTATTAATGAAACGAAAGGGCTCAAAAAAGAAGAATCGAAGATCTCCGACAAGAATGAATTTTGCTAGCTTGCAAACTCAATCAGAGTTTCCAAAAGGTGTTGAGAATCCAATATCAGATGTTGATGATGAGAATCCTTACGATCTTGGAGATGACCTCTACACTGGAGAAGTGGCTGACTATGAAGAAATGGATAGTAAAAAGCTTTACAAAATAAACAAAAAATAAAAATAGAAATACTTATGTGACTTTTAGCTTATGTAGATTGCAGTGTAACTTTCAGTGTTGTCCAAGTGTTTTTTGTGTATTATTATAATTATTATTATACAAAAGTACAGCATGTGATGGTCATGGCATGGGCAGAAGTAACTGTTCAAACAATGATGCCTACCCAAATGACTGTAGGCTGGATAAAAATGGAGAATTCAGTCCACTCCTTTTCAATTTGTAATTCTGTAACATTGGGTAAAAGTTCCTGTACTATTAATAGTACAGGGACTTTTACCTAATTTTTAAGCAACTTTAAAAATTCTTTAACAATCCAATTTTGATCAGAACCAGTTCACTGAGCTCAAACTTTCTATACAACATAATTCAAATGTATTAATGCATCAGAAAAAACAAAAAGGAAAAATTAATTAAAGGGCGTGGTAGTCAAACTTTTAACCACGCCTATTTTCTGGCATTGCGCGGGTTTTGTAGTAGGCGAAATGGGTTTTCGTGACTCCCTTGAGCAAGAATACGGGACACAGGACCTTTACGAGGCACTGGGTCTCAGTAAAGATTGCAAAGAGTCAGAAATAAAGAGAGCCTATCACAAACTGTCCCTCAAAGTTCATCCTGACCGAGTTGATCCCGGGGAAATTGAAGAAGCAACAAGGAAGTTTCAAGTATGAAAATTTCAATATTATACAAAAACAATTTATTTAGACAAGCCTGTAACTTTAAATGAATTTATTATTTAAAGGTGTGGGGTTTTTAAAAATTTCTCTACTCACGCACAATCACAGGTCCTCTCCAAGGTGTACAGTGTGTTATCAGACCCTGAGAAGAGAACAGTGTACGATGAGACTGGTGTCATACCTGATGACGATCACGTACTCTCAGACGTCAATTGGACTGATGTTTGGAAACTGCTTTTTAAGGAAGTCACAATTGACGTAATGTGTTTTTGATTGCTATGGCTTGATGATTCATGGTATTATTGTGTAGGACGTAAAGAATTTTGAGAAGAAATACAAGGGATCTGATGAGGAGAAGGAAGATCTGCGATCGGCTTACATGGACTATGAAGGGAATATGGATAAAATACTAGAAACTGTAACTCATAATTATTATGTAGAATAATAATTTATTGTAGGTACCTATATTTTGTTAGGTTTTGTGTGCAGAGGTTGAAGATCTGCCTCGGTTTCACGGGCTGATAGCTTGTTGGATTGCCGAGGGTTCCGTTCCTTCTTTTCCAGCATTTACTAGCGAGACAGATGCTACAAGACAAAAGAGAAAAAGGAAGAGAGAGGCAGAGGCCAAGGAAGCTGAGAAAATGAAAGAAGAGCTTGGACTGGGAGATGACAGTAAGCAGTTATGTATACTGTCTATCTAGAAATTTTTATGATGACTTTAATTTTGCAAGATTAAAATTAGATCACACAATAATTACATGCCACAGTCTTATCATGTAAAAATTGAAGAATGCACAATTTTCTGAAGCGCACATTTACAGTGCAACTACATATACATGTATGTGATAATTTTGTGGCAAGAAAGCTACAACAAAAGAAAACTGATAGAGCATAGTGTTTAATTATACAGATAAGAGAATAGTTAAAGACATTACTATTATCATTACTATTATCATCATTATCATTATTATTTATAGAAGATAGTTTAAAGTCACTGATCAAAGCAAGGCAAAAGGATAGAGAGTCAGCTTGCAATAGCTTTTTCGACCAACTGGAGAAGAAATATGGAAAGAAGACAAAGTCTACGGCCCAGAATGGGAAAGGAGGGAGTAAGAAAAAAGGAAAAAAGAAATAAGATGCCGTTAACATCAATCACTATAGATACAATAACTGACAGTATTTACAATTGATTCCATTTGTTCTATTATTATATTTATTATTTAACAACTTTTGAACTATATACTCCTTGACGTCTGTTCAATCTTATCATTTCTTCAATTTCGTCGTCAAATTCACACCCAAGGGCCCATAAAGTTTCCAAGTCATACCTAGAGCGAGCCTCCTCCGTCATAAAGTGAACTACACTAATACCTACAATAGAAAAGTAAAATGTAACATATACATGTAGGCTCAGCTAATTACATCATTGAAATCTTAAAAATTATGCAAGCTCAAATTATTTTTTTTGACACTTTGTTAAACTCAAACATGATAAAATTAATAATTATGTTACAAAATGTAAAACAGATAATGACAGTTGCATACCAATATCAACTACCAGCCATTCCGAATCACTTCCTTTTCCTTCAACAACGACTTTCTGTCCATTCAATATCTTTACATTTTTCATCTAATAGATGGATGTACATCACACGTAAAGTCTCATCAATGAAGCAAGCAACAGTTCATCATTTTAACATAACAGTTACAAGGTTGAACTTTTAAGAACATCAATATGCTTGGTTTTTTCAATCCTCATAACTCAAAAAGTATGTCAGAAACAGAGCATAAGGACATAAATTTGTATTAAAATGTAATAAAAATTTGGGGTGATTTCGGAGCCATTTTTGGAAAAAAACCATGGGCTATAGCCTTGGGTATTTTTCCAATTTTGGTATTTTCTTAAAATGGCCGTAACTTGAAAAATCGAAGTCAGAATCAGCTAAAACTTTCTATACAGCATAAGTACATTAATGTGTATCAGAAAATGTAATAAAAATTTGGGGTAATTTTGGAGCCATTTTTTGGAAAAAAACCATGGGCTATAGCCTTGGATATTTTTCCAAATTTTGGCATTTTCTTAAAATGGCCATAACTTGAAAAATTGAAATCAGAATCAGATAAAACTTTCTACACAGCATAAGGATATCAATATTTATCAGAAAATGTAATAAAAAGTGGGGGTGATTTTGGAGCTATTTTTCGGAAAAATCATGGGCTATATATATATATATAGCCTTGGGTATTTTTTCCAAATTTTGGCATTTTCTTAAAATGGCCGTAACTTCAAAGATCGAAGTCGGAATCAGATAAAACTTTCTACACAGCATAAGGACATCAATATGTATCAGAAAATGTAATAAAAAGTGGGGGTGATTTTGGAGCCATTTTTTAGAAAAAACCATGGGCTATAGCCTTGGGTATTTTTCCAAATTTTGGCATTTTCTTAAAATGGCGGTAACTTCAAAGATCAAAGTTGGAATCAGCTAAAACTTTCTACACAGTATAAGGACATCAATATGTATCAGAAAATGTAATAAAAAATTGGGGTGATTTTAGAGCCATTTTTTGGAAAAAACCATGGACTATATGAGCTCTGATCTTCGATCTTGAATTTGGAATTTGGATTATGAATTTCGTTATTGGCAACAGTAGTAGGTATAGGTTAGATATATTGGTAGCCAGCTCAACAAATTTCGAGCTGGCCATTTTTCCTTTGCTTTTTCCTAAAACATTTTCAAAAAATGACACAACTTATTTAAAGCAAAGTTAATTTTATCAAGTGTTCAAAAATTTTTCAGTTCATTTTCTTTTTCAAAAATAATTTCAAGGTAGGACAAAACTCAACTGCCTCCAAGAGAGAGGCAACTGCAGAGAAAAAAGGTTTTGCAAAAAAACACAAAAAAGAAGATCAGTCAGAAAACTCCTCAATGGGATTCCGAACCTTAGAACTGGACTTCCATTTCATGAATTCTGCATATTCACCTTGATCAACTGTACGTCTTTTCTTTGGTTTCTTCGGAACACCAAAAAACTCTCTTAAGCTAGATGCTTTGGTCTCAGTTTCACTTTGATCTTTCAATTCTTTACATTTAGCTTCAACAACTTCATCTTCACTATCAGTATTGATATCTTCATCAAATATTTGATTTATCTCACCAAGAGTTTCAAGATAATTGATTTCCTTGCTTTCTGTAACACATCTGTCAGTATATTTGAAACACGGTTTGAAATAGAGTTCTCTATAGGTTTTACTACCTTTAGTTGCAACTCTATACAAACAAGGAAAATCATCAAAATACATGTTCTTGTCAAATTTAACAAGAAAGTGAAAGTGTAAACCAGTGACTGTACAATCACCTCCACGTGGTGTCTTACACTTTAAGACATAATAAAATCGTTTGACTTTAGACACTCCTTTCATATCCTTGAACACAACCTTTGGACTCTTTCTAAATGTCCATTTACAACAACCATGCCAGAGATGTTCACAATATTCATCTTTGCTGGCAGAGTCCATTTCTCTTTGAATTAAAAATTACTATACCGCTTTACTTTACTCCAAATGATAACTGGAAGTAAACTTGGCTTGTTCTCTCTTTATATAGACTTACAGGAAGTATAGAAAATCATGCTCATGATTATACACACAGTCAGAATTTGTATATAAGGAGAGAGCCAACTAACATTTAGACAAGCTCAATAATTTGGAAATATGTCAAAACAAGGAAAGGGTAATCAAAGGAAAGTTGTCAGAGAGCAAGCTCAAAGCTGGTTTAAATATTTCAAAGGAAAAGGAAGGGGAGAAGATTGTGTGAAACCTTCCTTTATGGATAACAAGATTAAATATTCACGCAATACAAAAGCTGGTATAACCAGGTGGAAGTGTAGAACACACTCTGTGTTTATTGACACTGCTCAAGTTAAAGCTTTTCCTTCATTCCACAGGAAAGGATGGCCAATCCATTTCAAAACTGATTCTGATCTTGATGACATCCACACAAGGTTGTCTTATGCTCAAGCTGAGATGCAGGAACTTCAAGCTCAAGTTATGAACAATGAAGAAGGAGATCTGTTCTGGAATGCACTCTCTGAGTTGGAAGCAGTTGAAACTGAAACTGAGAGTGAAGAAGATTGAACTCTTTATTCCAAAAAAGACAAATCCTAATTTAACTTAGGTCTATATATAAGTTTTTTTTTATTTTTTGTTTTTTTTGCAAAACCTTTTTTCTCTGCAGTTGCCTCTCTCTTGGAGGCAGTTGAGTTTTGTCCTACCTTGAAATTATTTTTGAAAAAGAAAATGAACTGAAAAATTTTTGAACGCTTGATAAAATTAACTTTGCTTTAAATAAGTTGTGTCATTTTTTGAAAATGTTTTAGGAAAAAGCAAAGGAAAAATGGCCAGCTCGAAATTTGTTGAGCTGGCTACCAATATATCTAACCTATACCTACTGCTGTTGCCAATAACGAAATTCATAATCCAAATTCCAAATTCAAGATCAAAGATCAGAGCTCACGTGGGCTTAATATAGCCTTGGGTATTTTTCCAAATTTTGGCGTTTTCTTAAAATGGCCATAACTTGAAAAATTGAAGTCAGAATCAGCTCTCAAACTTTCTACACAGCATAAGGACATCAATATGTATCAGAAAATGTAATAAAAAGTGGGGGTGATTTCGGAGCCATTTTTTGGAAAAAACCATGGGCTATAGCCTTGGGTATTTTTCTAAATTTTGGCATTTTCTTAAAATGGCCGTAACTTGAAAAATCAAAGTCGGAATCAGCTAAAACTTTCTACACAGCATAAGGACATCAATATGTATCAGAAAAAGTAATTAAAATTTGGGATCATTTTGGAGCCATTTTTTGGAGAAAAACCATGGAAAATAATATAAAGGGAATGTCCTACCTCTGCTGCTAGTAAGTCGGCCATTCTCGTGATATGTCGTGAACCAGTTCCAGTGCAAGTAACGAAATAATGAGCATAGTTTCTGCTAGGAGGAATTCTAATGACACAAATATCCTGTAAATTGTGTTTCCTTAAAAACTGGACCAGCTCATCAATGGTAAGTGGAGCAGTTCTTTGCTTTATATCTAAAGAGAGTCTCTCTTCTTCCTCCTTTGCAATGTTTTGAAGTGATTTCTGTTTCTTGATATTTTCTAATAACTTTAAAACATCACTGTCACTGCTTCTGGTCTCTCCTTCTTTGTTAGAACTATTACAATTGCAGTACCCTCTACAGCAGAATTCATTAGGGATCACAGTATATGTATGGCCACAGAGTCCACTCCTTCCACTTCTAAAACTGCTACAAACAAGTCTACTTTCAAGACTAGAAAAATTCCTCCATATTTTGAAGCTCATCTTGACACGTGACATGGCGAAAACCCTTTCATCGATAATAATAAATTAACAATAATTAATCAATAACCATCTCTCAACATTCAAACATTATTTATAAAAATCTAAACACTCCAAGTGAGGCCTTTCAAAGGATCCTTTCCACTGGTCGGGGGGTATAGAACCACTTAAGTTAGTCTTGTATCCTGGTATTGATATAGGGACCTCCAGGTGATCCCTCATTGAGGGAAGGATGAGGTTCTTAGTGCATCCTTGATAGTGATCAGACTGTAATAATAATACCTGCTGTTGGAAACGAGCCTGGAGAGAGAAAGAAAGAGAAGATGATTTCGAAACATCTTTTTTTAAATAATAAGTAAATAGCCGAAGCTAATAAAAGTAGAATAGAGAATAAAACAGAATTGAATAAATACAGAGATAAAGAGACAAATCAAATAAATAAAATAAATCAGGATTAAAATTCACAGTCTAAGTAAAATTTAATGTAAGAGATTGAGGTTGATTGTTCAATACAATGTATATTACTTTCTTACTTGAACTAATCTGTTCTTTAGATTATTAACATGAAGTTGCTGTGTCTCCAGAATCGACTGTGCACTCCTAAACTGTCTCTCAAGCTCGGCATAATTAATAGCGTCAAGACAAGCAAACCCTGCACCTAAAAATAAACAAAAAAATTAAAAATAAATTTGTAATTGCATACCTTTAATAAAACAAATGTATGCATAATAGCTTAAACCAACTCACTTCCAGTTAACAAAGAGAGAAGTGAAGATGAGAAATTATTTAATCCTAAAATATCAATTTGATCAGGAGAGATCAAGCAAGAAGCAATAGCTGCCGTTAGCGGTAGAGAATTGGGTGGTTGGTGTGCCCCAGCGTTAAACGGAGGGGATCCTCCCGTTCTCCCTAGAATTGAGGGCGTGGTCGCTCTCATCGGTGGTGGGCGTGTCAGTTTATTGGTGCATCCTTTTGACTGTTTGGTGGTTTTCTTTGATGGTCGAGTACGAGGAGGAGAGAAAGGGAGAGATGAGGGAGAGAGGGGGAGAGACGAGGGAGAGAGAGGAGAAAGGAGAGAGGGAGCGGGAGCGAGAGAGGAAGGACGAGGAGAAATAGGAACTGGAAACGGGAAATTGTTGGTAGAATTCGACGGTGTGATTGGAGTCACAGTGAGAGCTGAAGGGGTAGTCAAACCAGAACGAGACTCACTGCTTTTTGAATTGATCCTCAGTAAATCCCTCATCTTACTCTGGAGAGAGTCCTTCCATTCAGGGCTAACTTGAAGATAAGGAGGAGTTGAAGCTTGAGAAGAGTTTTTCTCATGAGAGGTTTTCTTAAAGACCTTACTAGAACTGGTAGTACTTGTACGAGAAGATTTTGAGCCTGAAGTTGATGAGTGAGAAACTTTCTTTGCAGTAGTAGCACTCGTGGTTTTAGTCTGTGACGATTTATTGTTCTTTTTTGAAGGAGTTAATAATGGAACAGAACTCCTCCTGGCAGCAGATGATTTCTTAGAACCAGCACTAACAGTTGGGGCAGTATTTAGATTCATCCCAACAATAGAATATAATGAAGACGGAGGGAGAAAGGGAGAAGAGAAAGGAGGAGGAGGAGAGAGAGGGCTTGGTTCAGATACAGTAGAAGCTAAACCAATTGATTGAAAGTGACTTGGAAGAGTCATTAATAGATTGCTAACCAGGGGTGAGGAATGAGAGCTAGTGGGGGTAGTCTTGGTGGTTGAAGCTCCAGCTGTACTAGTGATGAGAGGAGATGATGTTAATAAATGAGAAAAAGATGATGAATAAGATGAAGTGACTCCTTGCGGCAAAGATACCATAGAGAGAGTATCAGGAGATAAGAGTCTAATATTATTATTATTATTATCCATTTTTGATGAGCCTGAACTTGAATGTAAAGAATTGATTCCAGTATAAGCAGGATTGATTTCAACTTGAGCAGAATCCATTGCAAAATTGATTCCAGTGTGAACAGGGTTGATTCCTTTATTAGTAGTAGAGCTGGTATTAGAAAGAGAAGAGGCAGAAACTGGTTCATTAATAATGCTAGAAGTGATTGGAGACGATACAGCATTAGTTAGTACTGGACCGTGTGATAATAAATGTTCATTAAACTGGTGATGTGGATAGAGAAAGTAACCCTGCATTAGTGACATATCAGACAATCGACTGGCAACACTAGTCACATGACCAATACCACTAGTCACATGACCAATACCACTAGTCACATGACTAACACCACTAGTCACATGACCAGCAACACTAGTCACATGACTAACACCACTAGTCACATGACCAGCAACACTAGTCACATGACCAACACCACCAGTCACATGACCAATACCACTAGTCACATGACCAATACTACCAGTCACATGACCAATACCACTAGTCACATGACCACCAGTCACATGATCAGTATTCACTCGATGATGAATGGTATATTGACTAGAAGAGGCAGTGTTCCAATTGCTTCTATGAGTCAGAGGTAAGCTCTCACCACTACTCCTTCCTATTCTACCCAACGTGTGAAAAGGAAAAGCTGATGTATCTATTACAGAGACATTTTGAACTTCCTCCGGTACAGAGAGGACAGAGGGACCAGTAGCCATTAGAGGGTGTCTTGTACCTCCTTCATTAGACCAATGGATACCTACTAGTGAACGGCTCGAGTGATGAGGAACTCTTGCTACTCCTATCGGCTAAAAAATAAGGAAATTATATCATATTATTAATAGAGTGTTAAAATTTGGAGAATTGGCTCTCAAAGAAGATTGGCAATTAATATTTTGGCAGAATTTTGACTGCTATAAAGCCATATAAAATTAGAGATTAATATTTGAGAGCAGACCTCAATTCACCAAAACTTTATTCCACCATTTATGCTCACTATCTTACCATTGCTGTGTTAATAGGAGGAATATTGTTGATCAGTTCTTGTGTGGAGAGGGTATTATACTGACCAGCTGTTGTATAGCAAGACTCTAAGAGGGAGGGAAGGAGAAAGAAAATACTAGCAAATACAGTACCACTCAGCTTTAAGTTTACTAAGGCCATAGATACTGACACAGAGTTGTATAACCATAGTTATTGCACTAGTGGCAAACACAGGTAATGCTGGAGATCACTCATGTAAACAAAAACTTATAGCTGAGTGGCACTGTATATCATAATATGTAATATTGTGACTAAGTTGAGCAAAATGGTGACCAAAGTGTAGAATTATAATTCCCAGTGGCCACTCGTGTAATTTAAATTGGCCTAAGCCCCAAACCCAATCAGGAGCCAATGCATGTACATGTGTGCCTGCTAGTCTATTATACACTACTATAATGAAGCTTATCTAGTCTCCACTTGCCAATAGTAGCAAAATTACTACACTTCCTTATCAACATCTAACACATTTACACCAATGCCAAAAGTGAATAGAGCAACAGCATTCTTGTCAAATGACACACAGGATTACAGCTACAATAAAATATTAATCATTTGCTTACGACTCGAGGCCATGACTCCATCTTGTTTAACAGCTTGTATAGCTGGTGGCTGGATAGAGGAAGTGGCGGTGGTCTGGTTTTGAAGATCTATTTCAGGAGACAGAACTCTGTCTGAATCTTCATCTGACATTTTACTAGCTCTAAGAGAGAGAGAGGGGAAGAAAGAAATGAGTATCAATAAAGCTTAGTACATGCATGTTCAAGTGTTACTTGTTTGTTTTATGAGGGTCAGAGTCCAAAGGTGGAGAGAGAGAACGCTTCTTTCTCTTGGTTGAGCTACAAAAAAAGAAGAGAGAGGAAAGAGGGCAACATAGTCAAATCTCAGAATATTCTGACTCACTTGACATTGGCCACTTCAACAGAGAAAGAGCAAAGTCCCACGTCAGGTATAGAGGACAAAACACCACCAAACATGTGATCTTCATTTTCAGTAGTACCAGTAGTGACATTCTTATCACTAGCAGCTGTATTATCAGATACTGGGGATGCCTCCTCCTTCCCTTTGCTTGATCTACGGTTAGAACTAGCTCCTTTTTTAGTCTTACATGTATTAGTTCCTCCTCCTCCTCCACTTTGTTTCACTTTAAGAGACGCCATTAACGTAGTTCCTAAGAGATAAAAAGGTCACAAGAGTAAAAGTAGAAAGGTCTTTGCTATCATCACATTAGGCTAATTAAAAATGACACATAAGGCGCATTAGTGTGTGGCTATTTATGTGGCTTCCACAGTACAACATGCATAGTGAACCCATCTTCCCATACATTGTTATAGATCAACAAAGGAAAGTTACTAATAGCTAGCTCTCTGCTGACAAAGCGAATATATCCACATGCATATCTATACCATAAATACACACATACTGTATACCAACACACAAAAATTTCTTGGAAAGGAATGCTACATGTTACAGCTGTAGCAGCAGTTTATTATACATGAAGTATTATGGATGATTGGAGATCTGTTAATTAAATCTATGTGTACATGCAATAATTGGTTGCATGACATACAGTACATGTATCAGGGGTCCAGGGCTGTCAGCTACATGTATGTCATCAAAGAATGCTTGCTTTCTGGTGTGTGTCCCATGGTTTGGGATTAGTTAAAATTCCAATAATCAAAATAACAAGTAGCTTACAAATTAGTATTAATTATACGATTGTAGTATTTTTCTTTTGTTACTTAGGCTCAAAAAATTAACGACATTTTAAATTTGTGTACCACATTAATCCAGCCTCTTAAGGATCCTTCACTAATAGATATGAGATACGTGTTAATTATGTACTGACCTTTTGCAAATCTTCCTTTTCTTGTTGGACGTGTCTTTACTAATGGCGTTGTCTTCTCTCTTGCTCCTCCTTCACTACTGTCCCCCGAACTATCCTCAGGTGAAGCACTGCTAGAGCTGGAGCTCATATTTTGAACAGCTCCAGAGGACAAAGCTTTACTTCGTGTTACAGGGCAACCTGTGAGAGTTAAAAAGAAAGCAGCATCATCTATCTTGCTTATATTCTATATATTATTATACATGTTGTTTTTTAAATGACAGTTTAGATATAAACATTTAATATTGTACACATACTGGGTGTGCTAGTTTGTTCCTCATCCTGCGGAGTTGGTGTGGTACTTTTAACCACATCCGACTGATCTGAGCTGTAGAGTCTTAACGCTCTCTTCCTCGGCGAGGAGGCTCTTTGTGTAACGCCATTGCTGCTGTTACTGCTGGGTGCTTCCTCCTCGGAATCATTATTGATCCGGTTTGTTTCATCGCGTCCATCTGTTTGCTCCATTTTCAAACCTCGTTATCAAGAGGGGCTCATGCTATATCCCTCTTCCTCATCAGGTTAAGTGTTAAATGGAGAATAGAGAAAATGAAGTGCCTACGGGTCGCCCCCTCATGTACTAAGCTTAAGCCTTGGTCAAGGGTTAAAATTTTAAAAAGACAAGCAGCCCCACCCATAGCCACGCCCTTTGATCAGACCACGCCCATGGAATGTTAGGTGGGGCTGTCTGCAGAAGCTGTTGCTTCACACTTGCTGCTCAAAAGAAAGTATGTCTGCCGGTCTCTCTCAGTATCACTACAGGACCAGTACCTACCCCTTTATATCTCCTACATTTCAAAGCCATCAGCTATGGACTCCATTCTATCTGCAAAGAATTACAATCGACAATCCAAAGTATTGGGAAAATCTTTTACTTCCATAGCATGCTAATTATTGTAAATCATCATTATAGCTACCACACGTTTCTGTCTCGATCTATTACAACAAACCCGCCTCACCTCAATGCACTGTCTAGAAGAGTCCAGAGATATGGGGACAATGGGTTTTTCCAACAAAAGTATGTGCAGATTTATTGCTGTAGCAGGCAGCAAGCCCCATTATAATATTATGCAGGGACATACCCGTTGAGCAGAAATATGATGTTACATCTCTTCAAAGGAGCAGCATACGTCCATGGGATCAAATGTAAGTCAATTTTATTATTGTAAAATATTTACAATTGATAATAGAGTTTCAAGGCCAATAGTGACTCCTTTAGTGATGTAAGCAAGATCATCAAGTTGTTATCAATAATTTATTACTTTATAATTTATCATTGAAGGTCTAAAGAATCGGATCTTCCTTTTCCAGCTGAGCATCCATTCACATCTCATATATCACAATTCTCTGTGTTTCCTGACACATGTAAAACCAATACAGGGCTTCACTTGCGAGAGCCTACACCGCTAGTAATTGGTACTACTACCTGCATTGAAACGGAGACGATAAATGATGTTCAAATTCAAACAAAAGCAGTCGGGACTCAAACAGATGAGGGTGAGATGGAAGATGAAGACAATTGCAAAAAGCAGAAGGCATATCTGATAAGTGATAAGTCGTACTGTCATGCAGCAAGGAAAGAGATACATAATGTCGGTCTATCAGTTTCATGCAAGGACAACAGTCACTTGCTGGCTTCACTTAGACCAGGGATATATCGCTGGGATGTATCAAGATCACTCTCTCCTGGACATCAGGTATGAGCTCAGTATGGTAATGATGATATTTTCACTGTTTTTTCTCTTAACGTACAGCGTTCTATGACATACCCAGCACCAACGACTATGTATTCTCCTAACAATCATCCAGTGAGTTTCCGTTCACTGCCGCTGAGTCCAGGAACACGACAAGCACTAGAATCAGTCAATCATCGAATCTCGACGTCAACTACTTACGAAAGAGAGTTCTCATCTCCTCGACCAGTCCCCAAGCCTACACTAAGCACTTTTAACAAGCAGATGAGTGCCTCTAGCTCAAGAGGGAAGTATGCACGTGCTCCTGTTTTTCATCAGCTCTACTCTGAAGACTCTTCCACTCCGAGTCGACCTCAATCTGGCTCCACTTTATACACAAGAAAGCTCTCCCTGCCAGATGGTCATCAAAGAGATGCTAATGATGCTAATGTGAGTACAACTGACAAAGCAACACAAACTGATTTTGAGGAAGGGAATCTAGACGAAAAGGAAGGAGTAAATAATGAAATGGAATCTGTAAAAATCACACAATTTCAATTACCAGTGCGTCCAGAATCTGAAGATGGCGGCTACCTTAGACCCAGCACTGCTGGCAGCTACTCTACTAGTGGACAGAGCTGCAGTGATCACCCTAGTACTGAGAGTGTGCTGAAAGTTCCCTATAATCGTACAGAAGCACTGCAGAGATTTAACATGGTGCATTATGAGAGAGCACCAGATATTAGAGAAAACTCCATTCGTAGTGGGAGAAGGCACATAATTAATGGATACCATGCATATTATTGGCATTAAACACTAGTGTACTCTAATTAGCAAATTAAATTTATACTTATCCTGATTAAATATTTTCACGAGTTAGAATTATTGATAATGCCATATCATAGCACATTCTTGGAAATGAATACCTTAAGTGTGATGTAAAAATGAATGTTGTTTGTTGCTCAAAGGTCAAACATTACAAAAGAATATGTGTTCAATTTCTCTAGTCTTATTTCTCTTGGCATTCTTGGCTCCTTTGGTCTCCTCTGCCAATAATCCCAACATTATCTTGTTTGTCATAGATGACTTGGGATGGAATGACACAAGTTATCAAGGAAGTGACATACAGACACCAAATATAGACAAGCTTGCAGAAGAGGGGATAAGATTGAAGCAGTATTATGTTCAGCCTCTCTGCTCTCCTTCAAGATCAGCCTTACTTGCTGGGAAATATCCTTATCATCTTGGACTAGCTCATGGTGTCATCACAAATGGTCACCCTTATGGACTTGGTCTTAATGAAACAACCATTGCTGATCACCTCAAGAAAGGAGGATACTCCACACATGCTGTTGGTATGTACACACTATAACCCATTGAACAATGGTGAGTGCCAGCATTTTCTCTCCATTCTGCAGGTAAATGGGATCTTGGGATGCATAAATGGGAGTTTACCCCAACATATCGTGGGTTTGATACATTCTATGGCTACTATGATGCTGATGAGGACTATTACACGCACAAAGTTGGAGGATATCTTGATTTCAGGAACAACACTGACCCAGTGAAAGATGAAGATGGAACTTACAGTACCTTTCTGTTTACAAAAGCCATTGAGGATGCAATCAACGCTAAAAGTGACTCACCTTTTTTCATATATGGAGCATATCAGTCAGTGCATGGTCCACTGGAAGCACCTGATATCTACTTGAACAAATGCAATATTCCGTATCCTAATAGAAAGATATTCTGTGGAATGATGCTGGCACTGGATGAAGGCATATCAAACATTACAAGTCTACTTCAGACAAAAGGTCTTCTTGATGATACCATAATCATACTAACTACTGACAATGGAGGACAAACAGCTCTAGGGAGCAGTAACTGGCCACTAAGAGGCAACAAGGCCACAGTATTTGAAGGAGGAGTCCGTGGAATATCTTTTGTATGGAGTACAAAACTAAGGAAGAGCAACTACGACAACAATGCAATGATGCACATTACTGATTGGTACCCTACAATCATTGAAGGAATTGCAGGCATGACACTGGATACCAAAGGATTGGATGGTTTTAATATGTGGGACACAATAAATGATGATACTCCATCACCAAGAACTGAAATACTCCACCAACTGGATCCTCCGAGATATGATAATGAGCGTAATCCATTCATAGGGCAGGCAGCATTAAGACAAGGAGACTGGAAGTTGATAATAGGACAACCAAACTGCTCTGAAAAAATAGGTCCACACCTGGTAGGAAATAAATGCCCCAATGGTTGGGTCCACTTGAATGGAACTATAGAAGAGCCTGAAGTCAATCCTAGCTTAACTTGGCTCTTCAATGTTAAAGATGACCCGAATGAGAGGAATGAGTTAAGTGCAAGCCATCCTGAGATTGTATCAAAACTAAAGGAGCGGATTGAAGCATATAATGCAACCCATATTGTACAAATGAGTCCGCCCATTGACCCAAGATCTGATCCAAAAAAATTTGGAAATGTTTGGACCCCTTGGCTGGACTAAGGGATTAATGATAGCTATATTTGCTGATTTAACAATAATGCTATTGTGCTTTAACATTTATATACAGGTTACATACATAATGTTCAATTAAATATTTTCACAAATTAGAATTATTAATAACGTCATATCATAGCACATGCTTGGAAATGAATACCTTAAGTGTAATGTAAAATGAATGTTGTTTGCTACTCAAAGGTCAAACATTACAAAGGAAGATGTGCTCATTTTCTCTAGTCTTATTTCTTTTGGCATTCTCAGCTCCTTTGGTCTCCTCAGCCAATAGTCCCAACATTATCTTGTTTGTCATAGATGATTTGGGATGGAATGACACAAGCTATCAAGGAAGTGACATCCAGACACCAAATATAGACAAGCTTGCAGAAGAGGGGATAAGATTGAAGCAGTATTATGTTCAGCCTCTATGCTCTCCTTCAAGATCAGCCTTGCTTGCTGGGAAATATCCTTATCATCTTGGACTAGCTCATGGTGTCATTACAAATGGTCACCCTTATGGACTTGGTCTTAATGAAACAACCATTGCTGATCATCTCAAGAAAGGAGGATACTCCACACATGCTGTTGGTATGTACACACTATAATCCATTGAACAATGGTGAGTGCATTTTCTCTCCATTTTGCAGGTAAATGGGATCTTGGGATGCATAAATGGGAGTATACCCCAACATATCGTGGGTTTGATACATTCTATGGCTACTATGATGCTGATGAGGACTATTACACGCACAAAGTTGGAGGATATCTTGATTTCAGGAACAACACTGACCCAGTGAAAGATGAAGATGGAACTTACAGTACCTTTCTGTTTACAAAAGCCATTGAGGATGCAATCAATGCTAAAAGCGATTCACCTTTCTTCATATATGGAGCATATCAATCAGTTCACAGTCCACTAGAAGCACCTGATACTTACTTGGAAAAATGCCACAGTCCGTATCCTAATAGAAAGATATTCTGTGGAATGATGCTGGCACTGGATGAAGGCATATCAAACATTACAAGTCTACTTCAGACAAAAGGTCTTCTTGATGATACCATAATCATACTAACTACTGACAATGGAGGACAAACAGCTCTAGGGAGCAGTAACTGGCCACTAAGAGGCAACAAGGCCACAGTATTTGAAGGAGGAGTCCGTGGAATATCTTTTGTATGGAGCACCAAACTAAGGAAGAGCAACTATGACAACAATGCAATGATGCACATTACTGATT